AGGTTGTTGTTTCCTTTCTTTTCTTGCTGATGTTTTTTGTTGTTGTAATTGATAAACACGAATGGTAAATATTTGACGAGGTAAAAAGAGTACAATTTTTATTGATACTTACTTTACTTTGTCATCCTCTATTGCCGTTAAGCGTTGCGGGGAGATGCAGTTTTCTATGGAAGGCCAGCTCCGCAGCTCTTTAAGTTGTGATATTATGTTTTCTCAGGGTTTCCTTGACACCCTCGTTCCACCTTTTGCGTGGCCTTCCACATCCTCTATTGCCCGAGTGCTTGGTGTTGTAGGCTCTCGAGGCTGGTTGGCCGAGTGACATACGTACCAGATGGCCAAACCATTTTATTCTCTGTCTTTCTATGTAATGCATGCAGGACTCACTGCCGATAGCTGCTCTTACTTCCTCATTTCTCTGCCTGTCTCGTCTTGTGAAGTTAAGGGTTTTGCGGAGACATTTCATTTCGCATGCAGTGATTTTGCTTTCATGGGTTTTACTTAATGTCCTGGTCTTGCACTGGTAGCATAATGTTAGTATGAATATTGAGGCGATAAGCCCTCTCTTTGTGTCCATGGAGCCGGTAGGTGACAGCGTTGGCTTTTCGGGTTGGCTTTTCTATTTCTCTGTCTATGGACCCGTTTTAAAAAAAAAGGACTGCCAAGATATCTAAATTCCTTCACCTGTTTCAGTTGTTTATTATTAACATGGATGTTCAGGGGACTATGGTTTCGGCTCACTTTCATAAGTTCTGTTTTTGATGTGCTTATCTCCATGTTAAATCTTTTGCAACTGTTGTTCTGTTCGGTAGTGTGATTTTGGAAGCTTTGTTGGTTTTGGTGAATAAGACATTGGTCGTCTGCGCACAGAAGTTTATTTAGGCTTTCTTGGCTTTGGTTTGCGTCTTGCGTTATTATGTCTATATATATTATAAACAAAAGGAGAGGTGGAACGCATATCTGTCGTACTCTAAATCTTACTTTGAACCAGCCTGTATTGCCTTCCTTCGTTCTTATTGAGCTTTTGCGGTTGGTGTATAGAACTCTGACATTATCTAACAGTTGCCCTCTGACGCCATACTTTTCGAGTGTCTTCCAGAGTTTTGCATGGTTTACTCTGTCAAAAGCCTTCTCCTGGTCTATGAAGACGATGTTGGATTCTTTGTTGTGTTCGTTTGTTTTCTCGCATATCTGTCTTAATGCGAATACAGCATCCGTGTATCTTCTTCCCTTTTGGAATCCAAACTGAGCGTTGCTCAGATTTCTCTCTACAATGGGTCTTATCCGGTGTTCTAGTATCTTTGTGTATATTTTCCCTACGTGACTTAATAAAGAGATGCCCCTGTACATTGCGCTGCCCTGGTTGTTGCCCTTTTTTTATCCATAGTGGGACCACTATGGCTTTCTGCCAGTCTTCTTGGCATTTCCTTTGCTCTCAGGCTCTAATGAAAATTCGCCTTAGCCACAGTACGCCGGTGTTTCCACAAGCTCTTATGGCTTTCACTGTGATGTCATCTGGTCCTGGGGTTTTGTGTCATCTGGTCCTGGGGCTTTGTTCTTGGGGCTACTTTTGAGTGCCTTTTCAATTTCACTGAGAAGTATGGATGCTTCCGTATGTTCTCCATATGATGGCTGGAACTCTTCTTGTTGTCTGTGGCAAGCGTCTGGGTTGAGTAGTTTTGGAAGTAATTTCCCATCTTTGCTTAAGATGTAAGCTCATTAATTGTCTTTTCAAAGCTGCTGGTGAGTTTGTATTGTACTACCTACCATAGTAATGCAATTTCACTTCATTCTCGCTTTTGGTCCGAGTGGAACATAAAAATATAGACAACCGACGGTAATCTCTCTCTCTCTCTCTCTCTCTCTCTCTCTCTCTCTCTCTCTCTCTTTCTCTCTCTCTGTCTCTGTCTGTCTGTCTGTCAGTCTGTCTGTCAGTCTGTCTGTCTGTCTGTCTCTCTCCCTCTCTCTCTCTCTCCCTCTCCCCCCTCTCTCTCTCTTACCTCTTGACCATGAGAGTTTGCGTGTCTCTCCTCTCTTTTTGCCCTCTCATACATTGTACTCACAACAGGTAGTGAAAGTCAACAAACGCTCAGACATCGTCACAGAAACCAGACAGTTAAGCCCCCCCCCCCTCCCGTGTTGCGCTTCTCTGCTCTGAGCCCCGCTCACCGTCTATGCACCATGGTGATCATTGTTTTCACTCAACACACAGAGTGTTTCAGAACCAAAAAACTGCTTACTTCAGTCGACGCCTATAATTCGGTTAAAATCCTGTTAATTTATTATGTTATACATGTATCTAAATTCGATAGCAACAGGGCTAGAGGGAGACCGAGAGAGACCTGGATAGATGGAGTCAGGGAAACATTAACAACTGACGGCATCCCCCTGACCCAAGCTTTCCAGCTGGAGGCAGAGAGACGTCTCTTTCTTCACGTGACACTCAAAAAGGGTACCAGCAGCTGATAAAAGTAAAAGTATACATGTATCTGCTGCAAAAGGAGAACAGTATCAAAATTTAAAAGTCCTTCACTGTTTCTGAGATGCAAAGTTGGTGACAAGAACAGAGGTTTGGTTACTCAGGC